CTGCGTGAAGCAGACGGTAACTTCCTGCCTGTTACTGCTGAGATGATGATAACCTGCGTGAAGCAGACGGTAACTTCCTGCCTGTTACTGCTGAGATGATGACGAGCTGGTCTGTTCTCAGCCGGTCACAGATCCAGACCACACAGCTCACTGAGGCGGTGACTGTCACTTTTACTCCTCTCTGTGGCCATGATGAAGCTCCCCAACCCTCCTCCTCCTCCTCCTCCCCCTCTTCCTCCTCCTCCTCCTCCTCCTCTCTGTTGTGCTCCTTGTCTCTCAGCATCACCTGCCCTGAACAATCAAGCGTGGCTCTGCTTCTTCTCCGCTCACCTTCAGACAGGCTGAGGACTTCATCGTGCAGCAGAAAGAAACAAATATGACAAAATGTTCAGAAAACCAGCGGCTCAGTCGACCATTGTCTGTCTCTCGCAGCTAGCTGCTAACGGTGGCTAACGGCGCGCGCGAGCAACCGTCACACTCACCGTCCGGTAAATTATGGGTTTTCTCTCAGCAGGTCCGGTCCAACTGAGCTGGGTGCTCAACTCTGAGGTGCTCGGACGAGAGGAGCCGTCTTCTGCTGAGCTGCAGCTCCTTCTTCTCTCCTTCCTTCCGCCGAGAACTCTCTTTTGTCTGTTTCCAAGGCGACCAGAGGAGAGGGAGAGGCCAGATGCAGAGCGCATGCGCAGTGTGACCAGCGCTTTGAGGGACACTTGTCTCTTGGCAGTGATGAACTATTTATAGGTTTGGGTCGTGTCATAACTACGTGAGAGGAAGTGTAGTAAAAACTATTTCACTTAAAATACTGACATTTTAAATAATAATAATAATACTTTATTTATAAAGCCCTTTAAAACAACCACAGCTGCAACAAAGTCCTGTACATATAAAATGAAGAACATTTAAACACGTAAAACAGTTGTTAAACTATTAAGATCAATAAAAACAGTGCAGAGCAAAATTCAGTCTGTGCTAAAGGCCAGAGAGTAAAAATGTGTTTTGTTCAATAAATCACAAACTACCTGTCAACAGAAGATGAACAGTTAAAGCAAGACAGGTTTCAAAATAAAATCCTTAAATATGAGATTTAAAAGGCTCAGAAATAGTTTGTATTTAGTCGTCTATACATGCGTAGTTTTACAACAACAAATGGTAAACTGCATTTCTTCAAACTCATCATAACAAGTAACAAATAAAGTTATACATTTGTTAAATTAAAGAACTTTTAGGAGGGGAGAATAGTTTGTCAAGTAAATTTTTGGTTATGATGCATCAACTTGTCAGCTGAAAATATAAGAATGAGGCTAGCTGCTTTTATGGAAGCAGAAAAAAACATTTGTTTGTGTTGAACTTCAAAGTTTAGTTCAGTTGATGCAATTCAGAAAAAAAAATTCCCCACAACGAATCCAAAGCAAACCACGGATCAGCCTCGGTCACTATGATGTCATTATTGTTAATAGATTAACCTTTAATTGGAGGTTTTATAAAAACTTGATCCAGCTGGAGCTCAGCTGCACGTCCAGGATGTGCTTAAAGTTTGTGAATTTAAAGCAGCTTTCTTACCTTTTGAACATATTTTTATGTTTTTAAAGCCATTTTAAATGATCATTGTTAAAGGCTGAACTCATGTATCTGCAGCTTGCGCCTCATTTTAAAGGAATCGGGAGCAGTTTTTATGCTGCACAGTTAAATGCCGTGCAGCTGATCTCTGTGGCTTCTACTCACACGTGACCTCAGAGCTGCTCTCGTTTTGGCTCTCCACTTCCTCTCCGCACGTTTTACTGCGTCTGAGTGGACGACCGCTTCGACACGTCTTCCCAGAGTTCTTCACGTTTCATAGAGAGCCCTAACCAACGCCGTCAACACGTCTCTTCAGCGTGTCTGTTACTCTGCTGATAAGGGTCCTCTTCAACTGCCCCCCCTTCATCTGAGCTTCCACCCCCCACAGGCTCAGCAATATTAAACTGACAGTTGCTGAAATAAAAGTAAAACCTGAAAGATTCTGACGGCTGAGCCATCCCGTGTTGACTCGTACTCACCCACGTACACGGACTCTGGGCGGTGCATGGTGACATAGGGCTCTTCCAGGTCGTCAGTGATGAACACCTTGAGCGTGACCGAGGATTTCAGTCCGTGTGTTTGGTGTCTCGTCGCCTCTCCTGATGTCTGCGGCAGGTGAACACTCTCCACTGATCTGCTGGGCCGGCCGGGTGCCACGGCTGGGGCCTGGAGATACGCTGGTGCTTCTGTTGGCACCTGGTTGGGGGCAGGCGCCTCTAAAATACGTCTTTGCTTCATGTCTGAGACTTTCGACTCTCTGTGGCTTTTCTTGGGCCAAAGAGAGCGCTCCTGATTCAAACGTGACTCAACATTAGAGTTTGCTTGTGAAAATGTGCAGTGATCAGGGCGGGGGGCCTCCAGGGTCTGAGCTGCCAGAAGACTCTTCTTTACTTGATTTAATCCGTGCGAAGCGTCAGCTGACCGCCAGCTGTGATCCTCTGACACCAAGTCAAAGAGGCTTACTGAACTCTTTGAGTCCATCTGAGTCGTTTGGGGGGGTTCCTGAGAGGACCTGATGTGCTGAGATGCTTGTGGAAAAAACTGAGATGAGTTTCTCAAACCTCTGTGGCTGCTCGTTTTTTCTCGTGGCTTCTTCTGAGAAGAACCTGACAAAGGGCTTGTGTCTGCTCTTGTTGCATGGTCAGAGTCCGGTTGTGGTCCTGTTCCACTTGGTGCTGAGGCTGGACTCACACGAGGCTCAGTGGAAGAGGACGGTTTGGGCATCATTGGTAAAGTTGCCCGTTTTACAGAATATATTTGTTCAGATGATCTGGGAGTAGAGGCAACATCTGACGAGTTGTTGCTCCTCATCAGGGTGAAGTTCACAGATTGATTTAGAAGAACATCAGGCTCTGTCTGAGCCTGTCTGTGGACAACGTGAGCGACCTCCGTCACGTCTTTCACTTGACGTTCTTGCTGCTGACTGATGTTTGCCTTCGGTTTGGATGCAGAATCAACATTTAGGTTCCTGTTGAGACATCTTGGTTGATCTTTCTCAACATTTTCATTCAGCTTTGTTCCAACTTTATTGTGCAAAAAGTTGAAACTCTGGGATGTTCCTGGTAAGTTGTAGGGTTCAGTCTGAGGTCGAGACTCTCTTCTTGGACGAGTAAAGTCACACAAGGTTCTTTGGTCAAGGATTTCATGCTTCACTTTGTTTGGGGCAGATACTCTGGAGTTAGGGATGGGACTCCATCGAGCTCGTCTTTCTTTAGGAACAGAAGACGACTGGTCCTGCTGGCTGCTTGGACCGGTTTCCTGGTGCGTTGGAGACGAGCTCAGTCTTGGTGCGGGGACAGTCAGAGGTGGACACAGTCTCTGTTGCACTGAGTCAGAACCAGAGCGCTGCGAGGAGGGAACAAGAAGAGAAGGCTCTGGTTTGACAGTAAAACGTGTGCTGGGAGTGCTGGGCTGAGAAGCAGCAGAAATGCAGATGTGGGGCTTTGCAGAGACGAGCTGAGCGCTGTGCACGTTTGGTTTCGTCTTTGGAAGGGTTGAAGCTTTTTCTTTGTGGTTTCTCTGGCGTGTTTTACTACAAAACAAGTGACCAGATGCTTTGGATGAAATTAAATCCAGTGGTCTGAAAGAACACAACATGAAACTGTCAGATCAGTCACGTTTGTCACTGTGGAGCTTTGGAACGTGGGAACAAGATACCTGTCCGCTGCTGGAGATTCAGCGCAGCGTTTCTCAAAGATGAGCCCCTTTTCATCAAACGACGGGATTTGGATGGTTTTCTTCCTGATCACAGGGGACGACAGAGACAGTGCAGGAGACAAACAGACTTTTGGATGTTCACTGGTTTGTCTGCAGGATGGAGATACGCCTGACATCAACGACGTTGAGCGATGAAAAACACTCATTCTGCTAAACAGGAGCAAAAACACAAAGAGAAACCAAGTTAAAAAAATGAAGCAAAATCAGATTGTACAAATTCTAAGTTTAATCTTTTCTGAAAACACAAGGGGCGCTAAAAACAAATTCTACCAGCTGAAATGTAATTATTTATAATTGTATTCAGCACATTTATCTTGATCTCGGGGTTTTGATCAGAGCAGCTGACTGTTCCGAAGCTCTGCTGGTGACTTTCTACCATTACATCATCATGCTGTAAACCATTACATCATCATGCTGTAAATCATTACATCATCATGCTGTAAACCATTACATCATCGTGCTGTAAATCATTACATCATCATGCTGTAAACCATTACATCATAATGCTGTAAATCATTACATCATCGTGCTGTAAATCATTACATCATCATGCTGTAAACCATTACATCATCATGCTTTAAATCATTACATCATCGTGTAGGGATGGTGCCATCTTGTGGGCCTTCTCTGTCTGTGCACCCTTGTGTGTCTCATTAATCCTGATTGATTTCACCTTCTGTTATTAGTTGTTTGTAATCACGTCCTGTCTTGTCTGTGTATTTAAGCCTGTCAGTGAGTCTTGTCCTTTGTCTCGTCGTTGTTGGGTATTGTCCTGTCCTGCCAGTCTGATCTGTTCCTTGTTCCCTGTTTTTGTAAGTTGCTGCCACGTCAGCATTTTTGATTTATTATTAAAGAGTATTTATTTTTGTAATTCTTGAGTCCTGATTCTTTCCCTGCATTATTGGGTTCACGCCTGCCCTGACCTGCCTGAAACCCTGACAGTACGACGAGACCAACCATGAACCCAGCAGGTGAGAGATTTTTGTCTGGACTCCCTATGAAAGATTACTCTCAACTCTGTGACACAGTCCAGAGGTATGTGGACTCAGCCACCTCCTGTAACCTGTGGGAAAGGTGGGTGGCCACAAAAAACATGTTTGACGATTATATTTGTCTCCCCGAACTAATTGACTCTCCTGGTATGGAGGACATTTTGGACGAGGTGCTGGAGGAAGAACGTTGGCTGACACCGCTCATCCACCCGTACACTGCCAGTCCTAGTCCTCCACCCAAACACCACTCTGTCTCTGAACCAGTCCCGGACTCCCTGACTCCTGAGATTCTCATAGCTGCAGCCCCTGTGGTCATCTCCTGGCCTACCACAGTCCCCGTAGTTTCCCCATCTCCTGCAGCCTCTGCATTACACACGCAGTGCGAGAATCCAGCCTGTTCTGAACCCACAGACCTGGACACACTATCACCACCTTCATGCTCAGCTCCTCTCTCTCGGCCTGGTCCTGGACCTGAACCACACCACCGCCCATGTCGAAGAGGTCGACGACAGAAGGGTTCCAGAGCCTCTGTCCCAGAGCCTGCAGCCAGCCCAGAGTCTGCAGCAGAGGACTCTGAACCTGCTCAGAACCTAGAAACGGCCACAGAAGATTCAGAACCTGTAGTGGTACCTGAACCTGCAGCCACCGCCGCCCCGTCTGCTGAGCTCCTCACCGCCAACCTGTCCACTGAGCTCCTCGCCACTGCCCTGTCTGCTGTGGTCTTCGCTCCTGGTCTTTCCGCTGTGGTCCTCGCTCCTGGTCCGTCCGCAGTGGTCCTCCCTCCTGGTCCATCTGCTGAGGTTTTTGCTCCTGGTCCGTCCGCTGAGGTCTTGGCTCCTGGCCCGTCCGCTGAGGTCTTCGCTCCTAGTTCATCTGAGGTCTTCACTCCTGAC